TCACTTTTGTTTCCTACATGTACATTTACCATGCATGTTAGGATTAGACAACACTTTCACTAAGTGAACCAGAATATTTTCTTTTGATATAAAGGGTAATATATAAAGTAATAAACCTTCCCACCCAATATCCCCAACATAACTGTAATAAAAGAATAAAAACATGCAAAACACTAGCAAATTATGGTTAGTGTCGATCCCTTAGTAAGTACTCACACACAGGGAACCAAGAGAATTAGCTTTAAACCATGGTTCAAACATATTAGTAAATATTCATATATTTGAGTTAATCAATAAGCCTTACATGCTTGTTTAAAGCTTTCATTCCTTTAATTTTATTAACTTTATACTTAACCATACTTCTATGAACTCCTGGTCTTGATTAAAAAAGTTTTAAACCACCTAAAATGGTAGCATGTGGAAATAAAAAAAAAAAAAAAGTAGAAAAATTTAATAAATTACCTGAAAATTGGAAAAACATCTTGTTAAAGCTACAGGTTAATTAAATTAATTTCTACTATTTGAAATAAAAAAAACCCCAAAACCTTAACTTCGAAATACAGTCCTTCGATAGGAAACCCAACCAAAGTATACTAGAACACCAAAATGCTGGATCCACACAAAACAAGGGTAAAATAATTGCTCCAGGTTCGTTTTGTGGGGTTTTTTTTTATTACTGTGAATCAACTGATGTTTGTTCCATCTACATGTATCCACACATTTCAAAGGATAGCAGTGGAAAGCTAAAATGGAACACTGAGTCAAAACAAAAAAAAAAAAGAAGAAAAAATCATCTGCAACAAGTGATCACATCACCCATTATGAAACTTAACTGCCTCTTAAGAAACTCTTGTAACTTCCACTTTTAAGAATGTATCCATCCTGCTCTAGGAAGCCAAGATCACTGTTTCAAAACTGCAGAAATTTATCATCAGCTACAGCAGACACTCTACCCATTTCAATGGGAATGTGTGCATTACTTATCTAAAAGAAAAAGCTCTTCCACACTCCAAAGCAAGTATGGTCAATCTTTACAATGAAACAAATCAAATTTTTGCCCACGTAAGTAATTTTTGAGCGCAATTTTTTTTTCCAGTTCACTGAATTTTTCCACTCCAGCTGATGAAATACTCAGTGATGTGTTTGAGCAACTTAAGGATCAGACTGAGTTAGGTCTTGCCCAGGCAAAGACTGTACTTTCTTTAGCAGAAGGTAAAAGAAGTAAAGACTGCAAGAACTGGTGTGACATATCTATCACACCACCATTTGTGTTGCAATACATGCCACAGTTCACAGAAATTACTTCCTTGAAAGTGTAGGCAGGTCCTGTTTCTTCTGAAGTGCTTTTATTGCAGTTTTTACAAGCTACACCTTTAACAAACATGTATTTCCTTAACAAAGTCAAAGCCATCATGACAATTCACACTTTTAACTGGAAGCTTCTATTTAAACTTAACTTCCATTCAAACATCTTTTCCCATCCTCAGTGCACACCAGCAATTTAAGCAAAGCACGCGGTCTCAGTTTTTGGGAAACATTCATAATGCACAGCTGCTTTGGAAATGTACATGCTTTGCCTAACTCCACAACAGACTGAATGTCTTTTGGGCGCATTACTACACCATCATCTTGGCAACCAAATCTTATTAAGAAAATATATTACTTATCAACAGAATCTTCTCTCAAGAGCCCATCTTTCATAATCTGCTTGTTATCAAGTTGTGTAATAATTTCAGACTACACAACTCCAGTGGCAGAATAAACCAGAGGGATTATTGAAATGCCTTTGTGCTAGGAGGACTCAGTATTGTAGCACAGATGAATCAGGGAATAAAAAGCTTGAGTAAAACAATTTTTACTGTTTCATCAGTATGGTGAGAATGGTTTTACTGGTGAATTTCATGGACCACGGAAGAGAAACAGAGGCTGTAGTATGATCTTTATTCTTTAACAGCACATCAGACAAACCAGAGAAATAATTTTATCTGTTGATGAGACAACTGATATCACACATCCCTGCTGCCTGCTTAAAATAATTACTGGAAACTGAACACACAAGCCCAAGCTCTATAAAACACAGTTTTCAATTTACACTTTCACACAGACTTGTCCAATACTGTACACTGCAGCTCTGAAACAAATCAAGAACTAAAAGGGCAATTGTTGGGTATTGCATACTTCTCTCTCCAGACTGGACCCAACAAGACAGATTTGTAAAAAAGCACTGCTCTGACTTGCTGAGAGCTTTCCCGCGTCCCACACCCCATTTCACAGGAAGAACAACAGCAGCACTTTCACTTGCTGGCTGCAAAAGGAACGAGTAAAGTTCAGCTCCGAGAGCCATGTGAGGGAGCTCATGCCAGGCACAGGGTGGGGACTGGAAGGCAATTCAAAGAAGCTTTATAATATTTTGCACATCACCCTTCTTCACAGAAACCTCAGCATCCAAGGGATTCAGTCAGATTTTTTTAAACACTCCAGCTAGTTTCAAAGAGAGCCAAAGGAGGAAATCGCAACAAGATGGGATATGTGTAAAAAAGAAGAAAAGCCCAGCACTTTACATGGAAGCATTCATATATTTTTCAAGCAGAAAAAAAAAAGGCTTTGATTTTACATGACTAAAAGCTGATTGTTTGCAGAGATTGTTTGTTCCATAGGTAAAGCACGATCAAAGAAAGGATAACCCTGGAATCTGCACACATCAGAGCCCACACTAAATCCTGTCCAGAGGCCTGAATAAACTGCCCATTGGAGACCGCGGGCATTGCACAGATAATCCCACTTGGGCTCACTTGAAATTCTGTGCAGAATTAGTTCCAACTGACGGGCACGCAATGAAAAAGAAGCCGCTTGCGCCTCGGGCACAAATTCTTTGGTTTCCAGTCCTGCCCCAACTTAGCATTCTCTCCCAGTCACAACACCCGGCGGCACCGGCGACCGGCGTGGCCCGGCCCGGGCGGGCTGTGCCCGCGGAGCCCCCGGCCGCCATTTCCACACGTGTCTCCTGCGCATCCATCAGCGCCGGGGGCTCCGGCGGGATCGGCCCTGCCCGCTGCCCATCCCCGCGCACGCCGCCCCAGCGCTCCCGCGGCCGGCACGACCGGGCCCGCCGCATCCCCGCGCCGCGGGCGGGAAGCGGACCGCGGGACCGGGGGCTGTGCCCGGGGCACCGGAGCGTCTCGGGCAGCGGGAGCCCGGCACGGCCCCTCCCAGCACCATGGCGAGGCCGGATGCAGCCCCGGGATGCGGGAGCGCGGCTCTGGTGTGCGGCCGGGGCTGAGTCGCTCCACGCCCGCCTCTCTCACTCACCCGGAGCCGGCCGCAGTCGTGGCCTTGATGGAGCCGATGCGGAGCCGGTTGGCCGTGTCCTTCAGCGCCTGCAGCGTCTGCTGGTCGGGTTTGTGGTAATCCTCCATGTGTGCGACGCGGGAGGGCTGCGGCGGCGGCGGGTCTCGGGCGGTGGCGGCTAGACCTGCTCTGAGGACGGGCTTTGCGATGCGGCGGCACGGCTCACCGGGGCCGAGCGCTGGGGCGGAGAGAGGAGCGCGGGGGAGGGGAGAGGAGCGAGGGGGCGGAGAGAGGAGCGGCCGCCTCCATCCTCCCTCCCTCCATCCTCCCTGCCGCCGCCTGCGGGCGGGGCGGGCCGGGCCCGCTCTGCGCTCAGCGCCCTGCGCGGGCCCCGCGGCGGCCCCGGCTCCTCCCGCGGGCGCCATTTCCGCGGCGCGCGCTGAGGGCGAGGGAGCCGCGCTCTCCGCCCGCCATCGCTCAGGGAATCACAGCAATGGTGAGGCTGGAAGGGAGCTCTGGAGATCCCCCAGTGCAGCCCCTGCCAGGGCAGGGTCACCCAGGGCAGGTGACACAGGAACGGGTCCGGGTGGGTTTGGAATGTCTGCAGGGAGGAGCACTCCACGCCTTCCCTGGGCAGCTGCTCCAGTGCTCTTCCCCCTTCAACGTAAAGAAGTTCTCTCACTTGAGGTGGAATTTCGTATGGTTTAGTTTTGGCCATTGCTCCTGTCCTGTTGCTGGGCAGCACAGAAAGGAGTCTGGCACCATCCTTTTGGCACCTGTCTTTAGATGTTTATATGCATTAAGGAGGTCCCCTCAGTCTTCCCCGGAATGAACAGGCCCAGCTCCCACGGTCTCTCCTCATAAGAGAAGCTCCAGATCCTTCATGTTTGTGGCCTCCACTGTTCCTCTCCAGTGGTGCCTTGTCTGTCTTGTACTGAGGAGCCCAGAACTGGATAGAGAACTCCAGGTGTGCCTCACCAGGGCCGAGTTCAGGGGCAGGATCACCGCTCTCGGCGCGTTTGATTCAACCCCTGCTCCTTAAAGCTGTTGGTCACCACCCCAGTCTGTTCCTGTGTCTAAAAGAATGCTACAGTATCCCATGGCTTAACAGTAACCTGGTTCTTCCACACAGGAGAAACAGTAGCAGACTTGCCCCATGTAGCTTCCTGTCAGGATATAATTCATATTTCCATAACATATGTTAAAAATTTTGATGAACACAGAGACTTCTGCATAAAATACTGACTTCAGCAGCCATCAATCAGCCAATACATTTTCCCTAGCAATTCTGAACACTACAGCATTAATACTAGACTTAAATAGGCAAGCAAAATACTTCATATTTGTTCTAGAAAGCTCAAGTGGCATTAGAAGTCACAACCTAGAAACAAACAAACAAGCAAAAGGTTAATCAGACAACCATGCCAAAAAAGTTGTAGTGCAAGGTTGAAGGTTGGAATTGACAATCTTAAAGGTATCTTCCAACCTTGATGACTCTGTCATTCTAAGATACCTCAAATCTTGTTCATTCAGCCTGATATTCCTGCCCTACACTCCTGTATTTTAGTGTTCTGTCCACTGGTAGTTTGTTCTAGAAACTGTATTGCATTGATTTAAAAATATCCTAGTTAGTTTTACTGAACTAATGCTATCATCATCTACTTCCAGAAGACACTGGACCACTCCCATTAAAAACCCTTCACCTTCAAGGCTCTGCAGACTTTGGGTTTCAGAAACAAAGGAAATGACCTCAATTCACAGAGCATTCAGCCATGCTCACTTGGCAAACTGCCAGTAAGGAGTAGCATGTGAAACTCTTAGCAAGGTATGATAAAACTTTTTTCCATAAGCTAAGCAATTTATTAGAAGAAATAAAAGCAGACACCACTCCCTTAGCTTAACTGTTTTCTTAAATTGTTTTATCAGTTGTCTTCTTGAAGATCCTTTTAATAAAAATCTTCAGAAGAAAAACTAGACTGGAAATAGGCCAGAAAGGATAAAACAGAGCCAAACAACCAGACCTGACAGTAGCAAAGTGCAGAGGTTGTTCTGGAGAACACTATACAAAGGTTAACTGCTGCAACTGCCATTTGCTCTGCCCCAGTCTATATTTGACCTTCAAATAATTGGGTAGGGTATGCCTACTAGCTGTGGTGGGGTTTTTTGGTTTGGTTTTTCGGTTTGGTTTGGTGGTTTTGGTTTGGTGTTTTTTTGGTTTATTTTTGGTTTTGTTTTTTTTTTGTTTTTTTTTTTTTTCTTTCTGCAAAACCAGTTACCAAAATTTTTTCATTTCAGTAATACACTTTGAAATTATATGGACAATAAAATTGGGGTAGGGTAGAGCCTGATGAGAATCACACAAGCCTTGGTTTAAATTTAGGAACTCTGAAGATATGGGCTATAATGCCAAGAGCTTTCAGTGGCAGAGCAGAGGGCAAGAAATGAGGGTGTTAATGCACTTTCATTGTGCAGGTTTCCTCTCAGGGTACAGAAAGACACCTTGTAACCCACTATGTTTAAACAGCAGCTTGGAAATTAACTAACACGTGATAGCTAGAAAGTAGCTACTTGTGTAGGAAATCATACCAAAGAGATCCTAGCAGAGGAAACAGAAACAGGACTGCCAGACACTGTGGGAACAATCAACAGCCAGTCTTAACAGCAGTTTCCCCACAACATTCCTGTTAAAATCCACTTTGGTACAAGACAGAGACTTCTTTTGTCCTCCTGGAGCTCTGATGCCCAAAGGAATATTGTCAGTAGGGGAATATGAAAGATCTCAAGAGTTACAAGTAGCATCCATGAGAAATGCTGGGGTTTTTTTCTCTTTTGCAAAATTTAAACTATAAAATCTACCCTTTTTGTTGGTGAGGTAGCAGTGAATTCAAACCTAAGTTCCCTGTACAAGATCCTTAATTGAACCTTACACTCCAGTAAATACCTTGCTCAGGATCTGGTTGTGCCATTGCCTCAAATCAAATTTATTACCTAAAATCAAATTTACGTTGTAGAGTGAGGGTGACCAGCTTCTCTGAGCACGTTGCACAACTTTTCCTCTTCTTCTCTGTCCATTCTTGCATCCTTTCCACAACCTGTCAGCCTTCTCAAGGCAGCAGCACACTTGATTCTGTCTGCAGCCATATGGTCAGAGGGTAAGAGTAAGGCAGCCATCATTGAGCCACCATTTCAGATCAAATTTCCTGATTGTTCCTTGCTCACTGTGCTCTGGCTTTCTCTGCTGAGCAGTGCCACAGCTCATGAACTGGATTCCTTTCAAATAAAGATGAAACAGAAGATTCAGTCTGAGAAAGCAACTAATGCATCCCAGCTGTTAATGAGTATTCAGTTCAACAGGACAGACAAGAGGCAGTCTGGAGCAGAATTCAAACTCCCTCAGAGTGCAGATGGAGAGCCCTCAGCTCTTTGTCATGTGCTCCATAGACCTGCTCTACAGGAATCTCCTGCCTGCTGGTGTAGTCAAAGGCACAGAACCATTTTAGCAGCACAGCAGCATTTATTAATTTATTAGCTTGAGCTCTGTACCATGCTCACTGATTGGAGAGCAGTTGTTAAAATACTGTCTGCAAGGAAGGGAATGACACTTTTTCTATCACCCCTGCTCTTTAAACACTGTTCTTTAGACAGATGTTGACATTTGGCTTGACCATCATCTCACTGACACAGAGTTATCCATGTCAGCTGAGTGAGGCTAGGCAGGATAATTTGGTTTTCTCTAATGTGTGGTTTAGAAGAGGTGCATAAAGTAAATTCTTCAAATGAGGCCAAGTGTAAGTGAAATCATGTTTATGATGCCAAACTCCACAGTATTTTGTGTTGACCAAAGGTACATTAAGAAAACATGGCTGTGTACCCACTTTCAGCTGCAGAAAACAAATTTCAAAAACTTCATAAATACATTTGCACCAGGAAACTAAAAGCTTATTTTAGAGATATGGCTACTTCATCTTTCTGGATGGCTGGTAGTATTTACAAACACAGGAGAAAAATGTCAAAATGGAAGCAGGTATCATGAAAAATTGAAGTAATTTCTACACAAAGTTTTTGCTTCCAGCAGGTTAATTTACTCCCTATTTTCTGTCTATACAATGTGATTAAGAGGTGAGCATTGCCAGGCTGTTACTGTTCTTCTCTGCATAAATCATTGGTAGTGGCAAAGTCAACTGAAATGTGGAGTTCAGGGACTCCCCACTCCTTTGTTTTCTCTCACAATTTTTTAAAATATAAACTGGCCAAATCATTGTGGAGGGATAGAATATAAGAAAATAAAGATAGTGCAGAAGGTAGTCTCATACCTGAGGAGCTGCAGCTGTACAAATCACCAAAGATTAGGAACAGGCCTGCCCTTAATAGGCCACAGCTGTGTCCAATAAGAAGATGAGTGCTACAAAAGAGTTGGAGTGAGCTGAGTGAGGAGGGAGTTGGAGTTTGTCAGCTGTGCTGTGAAGAAGGAGTCAGTGCTGTGAGGAGCTGGCCATGAGAAATCACTGAGAACGTATGGGAGTTTTGCAATAAGATGACAACAGATCATGGCCTTGCTTTTGCCTTTGTTGGCCCAGGCTGATTCCATTCTTTGGCTGAAGAGTAAGGCCTGTGGTTGAGTCTCTGTGATCACAGTGATGGTGTGTTCTTGAATTGCCTTCTATGGCTCCCTCACAAACTGTCCCAAGTGTACTGGCAACAGCAATCTTAGCAAGTGCCTTCTCTGGCTGGACATACAGTGCTGTTCCCCTCCTGTAAGAAAATAAGGGGGATGATCTGGATCAGTCCAGTATTACTACAGCTCACAACTTCTTTTGTTTCCTCCATTGTTATCTGAATGGTAAAACGACTTTAAGACAGACTTAGCTTAGACAATGTCATTGGGAGATCACTGCCCACAACTCCCCCTCAGTTCCCTGAATCCTTGTGCTGCATCACCGAGTGCTTATTGTGGTATTGTGCTGTTAAAACAGCAGCTCAAGCATTCACAGGATGAAATTCCACCTTGTGTCAGTGCCTCCTCTTTGATCTGCTGGAGAGGCATGTTATTTCTGCACCTCTGGCCAAGTGTGATGGACTGTAAAGCAATAGCTGCAGTCATGGTATACATTGCATACAACAGGCAATGTTCCTTCCACATTCCTCAGCCTTGCCTCTGGAACCACGTACAATGTGATTAAACCAAGGATGCACATGTATGGACAAGCAGCCTTGCTTCAGAACATACAATCACATCTCGTTAGCTTCAGAATGAACTACTAGACCAGACAGCTTATTAAATACATACACAGGATAACTGGATTTTTCCATCCCTTCGTCCACATTTCGGCATCAGGGTATTATGTGCAGCAGAAGCATGAAAGCTCAGCTATGACTGACATTTGCTGAGATACTGCAAAAATGCATTGCTGACATAAGTACATGCAACCCTGTTTACCAGAGCAGGAGCTGCAGGCACTCAGCACTGCTAGAATTCAGGCCAGTTTGCTACCATAGGGCTACATCCCCAGTTTTGCCTAAAAAACTGTTCTCAAAAGATTGCCAAATCCAAGTCTAGTAAGAGCTCATCACTGCAGAATCCAAACAGTAGTGAGTGAAGAAAATGCTTGGAGATGAGGGAGGAGACCAACAGGCTGTGCAATTGCAGTTTGAGCAGTGTATGGGTTCCAAACTGAACTGGAATTGACAGTCACTGCTGTCCTGGACTGTCACCTTGCTAGTCCTGAACACCTCCATGTAGTGCACAGGATTTAATTTCATTTGCAGAGTAGCTTAAAAAAGAGAAGTGGAATTCCACTCATTGTGGAATTGTGGTGGAATTCCAATCGTTGTAGCCTGATGGATGGGAATGCAGTACATTGTCAGACCAAATCTGGTGCTGCAAATTTTCCAGAGTCTCAGTCCTTACTGTCACATCTGACTCAAAATAAATTCTATTCCTTCATCAGTGATAGCAAGTGGTTTTAGATAAGCACAAGCGAACACTCAAGTAAACACCCTGTGAAAAGAATATTCAGCAGGCTGTGAAATAATGATCAGCTCTGCAGTTCCCATTGGAGCATGAAAAACACTCTCAGCATCCTTTAGTTGCCATAGAACAGCAGTTTGTGCTACACAGACTACAAACAGCTATAACCAGCAACCTGGAAAATGCAGAGTTCTTGTGCAGCACCTGATGTAGAAACATCCAGAAGGGAAATCCATTCACCTCTGAAGTCTGTAACAGCAAGATACAAGGACAAGATACATACAAACAGAATAGATTCATAGTTCAACTAAAACTTTCTCCTCAGCTGACAAAATTGTCTGCAAAACCAAAAATGTGTATGGAAATCTTCATAAAAGAACAGACCGTTTTTGAGTTACAAGCAGGCAAATGTTGAATAAAAACAATTTTAAACCATAGTTCTTTTTATATTGCCTCTAAATAAAAATGTCATTTACTAAAAAAACCAAACCCAACCCAAAAATTGCAAAGTTTCCAAAATATTATGACAGTTTTATTATGCATGAAAAATGTTTAGATTAAGCCACATAACTCAAGACAACTCTTACACAGTGAGACTTTTAAATGTCTATCTAACTTTTAGCCTGCCAGAGAAAAACCAAAGCATTTTTTGTCTCACACAGTTAAAAGGAACTCACAGTGATAAGGTTTGGGCCGTTTTTGATGATATTTAGGGAAGTATTTCCACTAGCAGTGCAAGAAAATTACAGTATTTAAATCAAAATTTGCAATGCTAATATTGCAGTATTTTGGGGTATTTGGGTTGGTTTAGTATGACCAGTTAAAGATATTATTTACAAAATTATTTAAATTTATAA